CGGATTTATTTGGGTTTAGGCCCCAGTGGGAGTTGGGTATCTGAGTGCTAAAAACAAGCAAACTTCTGTGAACTGTTTTCAGCTAAACTTGCAGCTTTGGGGCAAGTGATTCAGACCCTGGGTCTGTGTTGGGGCAGACGGGAGTGTCTGGCTCAGCAAGACAGGGTGCTGGAGTCCTGAGCTGGCAGGGAAAACAGGAGCAGGGGTAGTCTTTGCACATCGGGTGGCAGCTCCCAAGGGGGTTTCTGTGATCCAACCCGTCACAGTCAGTTCTATGGTCTGTGTTGTACCAGTGGTCCCTTCTGGCTTACTAATCTATGAAACCAGTTCTATATAGAATGTATATAATGACTAATGTATGGAAAGTGGGAACAAAAGCATTAGTGTGGCAAATTCTCTAGGGAATGGTTATGTATACACAGTGTACACATACACATATTTTGAGTGTGTATATATAATCACAAGCTATTTTTCAGTTGTGCCTACCAAAAATGCTATCTGCAGTGGAAGCAAACCATCTGCTACACAGCATTTCTATTTTTAAGGTTCTCTGTATGCCAGTTTAACACACACACACAGTGTAGTTTTCACCCTCCTCCTTCAGATGAACTCAAATATGTCATTGGGTTGCCCTATCGGTTTTACATTTCCTCTGTAAACAGAAACTCTATCAGAGTAAGGCCTGAGTCAGCAGCTGTACTGGAGCAAGGCCTGTATTTGAGACTTACAGAATGTGTAACCCGAAGTCTAAAAAAACCCCAGGGGGGTATTTGCCACCTGGCTTTGGAATGGACAGCGGCTCTTTAATAGAGGTTTTTACAAGTCTGTCCTCAGATATACAGCTGAAATGCTTCAATGATGTTTGCTTGCACTTGCCCCTGGCTATTTTACAGACAAAAGGTCTGGATCCTGAAGTCCTTACCTATGTGAAACTCCACTCCAGAGTCAAACCCTAGGACTAAAATTGCCATAAATATATTTAATTTAAACTTTACAGTTTGTATTTAAATCTGATTCAAATACAAAGAAATTAAGTATAGCCATTCAAGTCTTTGGATGAAACTTTCCCATAGTCTAACACAACTTGACACATAGATTCTCGGAAGAAGAGTATTGTACAAAATTGTGTGCACATATACAACTACCTGCACTCTGCAGGTGCAAATAGTCAATTCTTAAATTACAACTTTTGCACACACGTTAGTGAGATCTCAGCAGTATAGTTGTATGAAACTCTATATAAACTCTTAGTGTTAAATATATTCAGGAAATAGCCCACAGATAATAGTTACTGTTGACACTGAGGAAGATTTCTAAATGTTTGGACATTATAAGTCTGTAAGAGATTATTTTCCTCCTGAGAGGTGAGTATTAATATACCATAGAAAACAGTGTTTTTCTGGTGTGCTTTGAATGAAGGGAGGTATTGGAGGCATTGAATCACCATGATCTATGTTGCAATGAGATGCAGTAAATGAGGTGACATGAACTCCCCATGGTTAAGGAGGTAACACTATTGACACTGTTCTCTCCTTTATTTATAAGAGAAGACAGCAATATGCTTTTATCAATGACTTTTTCAGAATCCTCCACTGCTTGAAGGGTAAAACCCACTTGCCCAAATAAATTTGTTAGTCTCTAAGGTGCCACCAGGACTCCTCATTGTTTTTCCTTATACAGACCTGTGACTTTCTCAGAAACACACACACTACCTTGATGCAAGATATGTTGTGTGGAAGACGAGAAGAAATGGAATTAGCAGTGTTCTCCACATAAACAGCGCACAGCATGATCTTGTTAAAGAATTATGTTGCCTCATAATCCTCAAACAAATAACATTATGCTATAATGGATCAGGTTTTTTTACTTCCTAAGCAGAAGATAGTAGGTTTGTTTTTCCTTTTAAACCTAATTTTCATTTCAAGCACAAGATAAATTATACATTGATGTGTATTATTTACTTATCCTTTTCTTGGCGATTACAGCTGGGAATGGGAAACTTGTTTTGCAAATTGGTTGGTGTAAACAAAGCTCATTCTACCAATTAATAATTTCTAATTTTTTCTGCATTGCTGCTTTGAATTCAGGTATTGATGGAAGAAACCGCTGGCTAATTAAATCCCACAGTGTTGTCATTTTTGATAGCAAACAAGGATTATTTGTTAACTTGAGCTCTGATTTCATTTTCCTTTCACAGATAGGAAAAAAATCATTCTTAAATTCACATAACTGGCCAGCACCAACCACTCTCTTGTCTGGTTTCCTCCTGCCTTGGAGCCTCTCTTGGCATATTTGCCTGCTGCAGCCTGATGGCAATGGGAAAGGACGCCCAGACCAAGGCGTAGTGGGGGGATGTAGAAACTTTATCACCCTTCAGAGACTCTCCAACTACAGGATTTTCTTCTCTTTGAAGGCAGACTGCATGAAATCACTCCAAGAACAGTAATCTTAACAAAAACATTTATTGAAAGCAAAGAAAATGGAAAACAGTTTGCTTAACCTCTCTAGATTTACTCTTCTCATCACTAGATTTTCATTATAGTGACAGTGTGTGGGGTGGAGAGAACTTAATAGCTTCCATCTCATGAAAGCATTGCCCTTGAATGCTGTCATCTTCATGCTGCTGTCTAGAGAGAGAGGAACTCCCTCCCTCTTTCCCGCAACCTCAACCATTTGATCTGGGATAGTCTACCTCCATTTTCCAAACCAGATTTCTCCAGTTTCACACTTATTCTCTCTAGAGGAGCAGACACAGGCTTCCCGCTGCAGCAGACAGCCCTTTGAGGCGAGGAGGACATTAACAATTGTCTGGTGTATCTGGTTTTGGTGAGGCCTCAAGTCAAAGTTCCCTAAGCAACTTTGTCTCTTGCCAAGAACTATGAATTTCAGGGAGGTTCTCAGCCCCTCCATCGCAATACTATAAACAGAAAATCAAAACAATTGTTGCTGCTGCTGTTCTGGTTTGGACTTGATATGCCTTAAAGAGGCCTGACTTGCACTCTAGTCACTTTTGAAAATCTGGGCCACTAGTATCTGCTTTCCTGTAGAGTAGTGATGGCAAAGTCACCTCCTCATAAGGTTACTCAAACTCAAAGTATATTAAAAAAGAAAAGGGATCATTATTGTTTCTGTTTTTCAAAGGTTTATACCAGCTGGTTGTCTTGGGCCCCAGTTTTACTTCACCTCCTGACAAATTGAAACCACTGCACTATACTATAATAATAATAAAAAAAGCTAATACTACCTCAAGCACATTTTCATTTGTCAAACATTTCCTTTTTGAGTATATGCATGTTTTCTATCTCACTAAAATCTAATCTCCTCACTCCACTGTCAGAGGCTGGAACAAAGCACAGTCTCAAAAAATGTGAAACATAATGAAAAAAGGTAAATCCTCAAAAGTGAAAGATAGTTACAGCAGTTCTGCTGGATCTCACTTGGACGGGCTTAGCAGATTTAAACCTGAGTTACAAGGGCATGCTGTCATCTCTCTTGCTGCTCCTATGGTTCTGTTCAGTGTTAAGGGAGTATGGCTCATCAGAGCAACACTTCTTGCAGAACGGCACAGGAGAACTTGATGCCACTCCAAGAAATCCCGTCAGACTTCAAACAACTGTCATATCTGTCCCTCCTTTCCTCCTCCAATTCCATGATGATGAGCAA